CTGCCTTCTCCGGTTGGTTTTCGAAATGATTCCTGAACTTGTCTGTTTTGGGTTTTTTTTTTTGTTGTGGTTTTTTTTTTTTTTTAGCTTGAGATGGAGGTTCCTAACCAGTCAGAATTGGCTGTTTCCAGCTTGCTCTGCTCTGGGAGTATTTGTGGTATGCGGAATGGCTTGCGGAAGAGAGAGGGAGGAGGCTTCAGGGTTGGGGGGGGGTGTGGAAAAATCACTTTTATTTCTTCTTTCAAGCACGGATTGTTCTCCAAGTGAGGAAAAAAAAATTAAAAAATAAAAATATATCTCTGGCTGGGATTGCCTGGAAGGAGTGTGTGGGGTGAGGATGGCAGAAAGATGGAAACTACTAGGAGGTGGGGGGGGGGGATGAAGCCCCCCTGTTCTGTTCCCTCCCCGGCTGAGCAAGTCAATAATTGTAGAACAAGCTGGTGGACAAAAGAGCTGGCTCAGCTCATGACACAGGGGCGGTGGGAATCCTGTCAGCACAAAACAACAAGGGAGTGGAGTTGCTTGTCGGGGAGTTAGTTGCCATCCCAAAAGAAGAGCTGGGGCCAGGGGGGAGGTGTGATCCTCAAATTTGCTCGAATTCCCTGCAAAAATCCATCACGGCTCCGGCAGCTGGAGAAAAAAAGGGTGTTGTGAAAGGGGAAAAAAAAATTAAAAATGAGTTTTTAATTCCCCGGGTGAAAAATGGGTGCTTTTAGCAGCTGGTTGGGGGTGTGGGTCCTCATCCCCCTGGGTTCTTGCATTGCTCAGCGATGGCTCTGGTTACCCAGGAGAGCAAGTAGGAAAGGCAGGACCACAGCCACCGTCTTACTGGTGCTGCTGGTTCCTTTTCCCCTCCAGGCTGTTACGACAGCACTTTAGGACACGCATTCCTTCGTGGAATGTAAAAAAAATAAAGCCAAGGTTTTATTTATCAGCTGATACTTAATGCCTGCTTTAAACGCAGCAAGGTAAGTCTCCCTAAAGCAGCTGCCTGGCTTTGAGAGTGGTTTGTGGGCTGTTTTTTTATTTTGGGGAGTGGGGGGAGATGTCTCAGGTTAGATTCTCAGAAATCACCAGTCACTCCTTGAAAATCCTGCCCTAAACTTTTGCAAAGGTCACGGTGTTTATTAAGATAAGTCAGCTTAAAATAATTGCTTTGCTTTTGCTCTAG